GTGCTGAAGGCATAGCTGGTGTGTTGCCTAGTTTTAATCCAATTGATTGAGCCATCCCATTGACAACTAACATTACTGACAACTGAAATCAACTCACCGAAGGCCTGTAAAGTTTGGAGCAAGGATGCAAATAGGTGGAGAGGAGATGCTTTGGTTAGATTAGAATCTCACATAGCAAATGCTAACGTGTATTGAAACTTAAAGGTTATACGTACGCTTCAGACATGGTTGCAGTCTTGTGTTCCCCCTCGTTTAATCTGCAAATATAAGAAAAACAAAGTTAGAACAACATCTGTATTTTTTTTCCCAGAAGGATACTTTTCATGTTTCAGCCCATTGGCTGTTGTAGCTACTGTGGGTTGGGTACACATAGAAGGAACATAAACAGTGTATGACATTGTCAAAAGGTCAAACGTGTGACTTAAAAAAATCCTCACTCAAACAAATCCAAAAAAGGTTACAATAACCTGGCAGGTTATTTCTGAAAAAAGGAAACATACACAAAGACTAAAGAGGAGAAGATTTGTAAAAGTAAAACACATAAATCAAATGGACACTGTTGTGTGTTAGTCATAACTTCAACTCGGACATCTGTGAGAAGCCACAGATCTTAGATTTAGAAAAAAAAACAGTCCCCTCTTTGACTCACAAGTATATTTGTCGTTTTAATAAAAAATATGAAACCTGGTCTCAGTAAATGACAACATAATATCATAACGTAAATACTGTTTTAGAGTAAAAATTATTATATCCATTTTTAAAAATACTGATAAATTCAGAATGGCAAGAACAGTTTGAATATATTGCAACACATGTTTTTTATTTCCTTATCCCTTGATTCTCCTGTATTTCAAAATAAAATCCTTACCTTCTACAGCAGGTGACAAACACTCACAGGCGTCTTTTTCTGAGACTAGAAGGAAAGAAAGAGGGTAGATATATAGATTCCAGTGCTCATGTGAGTGGCTCACTAAAATAGATCCTCAGTCCACACCATTCTTGCACTGCGTCTCTCATATAACATATGTAAGAGGTGTGAAAGTTCTTGCAGGGATTGTCCGTCTGTGATTTCCTTAGTGGCTACATGCTAAGGAGGGGAGTGAAGTTTGAAGGAGCTTTAGTCCACTGTTATATGTGTTTAGTAACAGTTGATCCCATTTCCAATCCAAAGTGGACATTTAGGTAAACAGTTTAAAACAAGAATGCCAGAATTTCTATCTGGTATTGGAGCCAATAAACCAAAGACATATAACTTTACACCCCCAGCAAAAACATTAACAAACAAAGAGGGGATACTTTTGCATTTGTTTTAAGATGTCTCTAATAACCAATGCATTTCGATCATCTAAGAAATAACATGGTCTCTCATGGTAACAGCTAACTCACTAGCAGGTGGTAGTTTATCAGGGACAAGCAGCATTTCTCCACAATCAGCACTCTATTATGAAGCTCAGGGCATTGTGTAGATTTCAAAGAATTATGCTGCCATCACAAGGCTGCAGAGAAGAACTGCTGCAAACAGTCGCATGCCTCACTAATACACAGCGGTCAATAGAAAAACAATATGATTTAAGCATATTCGAATGAGCATTATGTTACAATAAACTACTGCCTTAAAACAACAGTCTGAACATCAAAACCTATGAGAAGTGAACTTTGGATGAACTTTTGGCTTTTGTGTGATTGTTACCTTGACCTCTACTATCAACTTAATATGGGGCAGCATTCTTCTACAGCAGGGCAATGCATCCCAATGCATGGCAAAAATAGCAGTAGAAACACCAAGAACCCCAGGCTCTGAGTCTGGCCTCCACATTCTTCAGATCCCAAACCAAATGAATATCTACAAGATCTGCCAGAGCACACTTCATCATCGGTGGCCCCAGCAAAACTCAAGCCAACCCACAGGATCCAAAGGAACCACTGCAAGTGCTCTGGTTCCAGACATCACAGGATAGTCTAGTGGTGTTGTGTCCATGCCCTGATAGGTCAGAGCAACACAATACTAGTAAGGTGTTAATAGCTGATAGCCAAGTGACTTCTTCAGTCTCTTCTTCTCAGACTGAAGAAGTCACTTGGATGAGTGACGAAACGTTTCTCCCAGAAAACGCTACGTCCAGATGAACAGAATCAACTTTTGGAGGGTTACTTTAAAATCATTGCTGGAAGTTAATACTTTGCTTTTGAAATAGTTTTATGTTTATGATAATTGAATTCTCTGCCTGACAGTGTTGCTCAGCAAACAGAGAAGTTGCTGCACAGTGCTAGTAAGTGGATCTGGACCTGAAAAGCTGAAGCTGCATCTTTTTGCTGAATAGCCTCTGTTCCTACGGTAACTATTATTATGGGTTGTTTAGATTCCCCATTGGCACATTTGTTACAGTACACTGTACTTTTCTCATGCTTTTAAACTGTCCTAGACTTTTAACAAACCATCTGTGTTTTTAGCACACACACACACACACACACACACACACACACACACACACACACACACACACACACACACACACACTTTAATAAATACATACATAAAAAAACATCCAGCAAAAATGATTTTAATTGTTACTTTAACAGATTAATTTGTGGTTAGGAAATAATATCTCTTTTACTGGCATTCAACCTCATGATTAAGCAACACCCCATTTTTGACATGTAACCAATTTATTATTGTTCCAACTATAATTTAGAGTCTACAATGTCTGTTATTTTGAGTGTCATTATATCAGAATAATAGCTGTTTGGCTCCAAACTAATAAGATGTCCATAATTTACAGCTGTGTTGTATCTTGATTTAAACCAGCTGAATAATGCAACCTTTGAGTCACATTTAAAATTCCCATGGGTTACTGAGGAAAAGGCCACAATCTCACAGCCAAATTGTTTCCAATTAGCTCCCAGCTTTCTGTTGATCTTGCACACCACAATTTTTAAAAGTACCGAGGCCAAAATAAATAGAGACACTGTACGGTGCTATTCCAAAGTCTGGGAGAGAATAGTTGGAACGGCAAAGATATTTTATGTCACACATGAAAGCATTTGCTCAGGATTATACATTTGCAGAATTTTCTGAATCATTAGCTAATACCAATTTCACAGAATCTGTTGTTTCATATTGTTTAACTGCAGGCTGTAAACCTGCAGTATTACAGTTTTGTTTCAGTCTCACCTCTTTCAAAGCACTATTTTTGGCTGCTTTTATTTCCCTCGGGAATAAGACCACAATGAAGACTTAAACCAGAATTCAAGGAAGATGAATATAGGGAATATTGCTGTATATTAAGTCATACTGGAACCTATGAAGCCAGGACCAAGTTTTTAAAAAGGGGCTTTATGCTTCTATTATATGTGGTTAAGTTGTTAGAGCCGTGCTGCCACTTGGAGGTAGCATTTATTAATTTTGCCTTCATAACAGAGTAATTTTACAGTAACCTTTAAAACATTTCGAAAAACCCTTTTCTGTCTATTCTCCTTTTTGACATTTAAATTTTTATTTATTTATTTACCTATGGACTATATAAATAGAATAGAATAATAGAATAATTCTTTAATTGTCCCACAAGGGGAAATTTGGTTGTATTAGCAGCAAAAAAGCACATATACAAACAGAACAGGACACAGAACAGAAACACAATTTTTACATATTTTACATCATGGACAATAGTTACCAAAGCAGAGTACTGTACAGTTATACAAATTAGAGTACAGATAAGTGGAAAACCCAGGTTGTAGTGTGCAAACAGAGCAGGATACTGAAAGATGTTTAAATAGTTAATGTTACGGTCGCTGACCTCTAGTGGCTCTCCCTCTGTAGAAGAGTTTTTTTCTCCTTTTCTTGTGTTGCAGGTCTGCCTCATGAGCCACAGCTGAGGTGTGTTCCAGCTCGTCAGCCACGGCATATAGTCTGCCATCCTAAACTGCCACACCCCTGCCATTCTTCCCCATTTTTGCCAGAGCTGTGAGCTGTGAGTTTTGGGCAGCGGGCCTTAGTGTGTTGTGTGTGGTGTGTGTGTGTGTGTGTTGTTTGTGTGTGTGTGTGTGTGTGTGTGTGTGTGTGAGAGAGAGAGAGAGGACCCTTAAACTTGTGTTAATTAGTTCGTCGTTGTGGAAGCAGGTAGGGGTTCTCTGCCATTTTTGTTTCAACTGTTTTCTCCTGTTTTTGGTTAGACAGGGAGCTCAGCCATTGTATTTTGTTTTGGTTAGAGAGTACTTGGTTTGATTTTTAGCTAAAGGGGGTGTTTTGTTTGTTGTTTTGGCCTTGGAGACCCTGAAGAAAAGAGCTTCCCTGTGTTTATTTTTACTGTAGTAGTTTTGGGCAATAAATCAAGTTCAATGACATCTATTCTCCAGTAGTTCATGTTTTCTCTATCACTTTGTGTTACCCCTCACCCCAGTCAGCACTTCGTTTTTAAGTGGGGCGTAACAGTTAACAATATTTAGAATAATCAGAAAAGTACAGATTGTGTATTGTACCTGTGCATTAAAAAGTAGGCATGTAACTTCCAATAAGTTAGTGTATATGTAAACTGAGAAAAGTAATGTGCAAGTTATAACAGCAGAAGTTGTTACAGCGCTGATGTAAACATCTATGTTTGTTGGGAGCAGTTTTGATTGTAGTCTGACAGCTCAGGGAGGAAGGACCTGTGGAAATGCTCCTTCATGCATCTAGGATGCAGCAGTCTGTCACTGAAGGAGCTCTGCAGTTCAGAGTTTTACCAGACGGATTTGGAGGAGGAACTCTGTCAGAGCAGCTTCTCTCTCCTCTTCAGTTGATCACTTTCCCCCTGCTAACAATATAATCTGAATAGGGGAAAATGCATCAAGCGTGATGCATTTCATTTTTAAAATATTAAATATAATTCTTATATATGATTCTTACACGCAACATGACTTTTCTCACATTATAGGATACTATACACATATATTATGTTATTATGTTTAAATATTGTAAACAATATTTACAAATGTGATGCTGGGACGGATGCAAATATAGTAAATTCTCTGCATGTTTAGCACAGCTGGGCTGTATGCTGAGTATTGGTGATATGATGTTTATATACCCACCCCACACATTAATTGTCCTGTTAAAGCAGATCAATGAATTTGAGCATTTTACTCAAAGCTTTTTATTATTCAGTTTCTCTGTTGTAATATAGAGGTGGATCGACATACATGGAAGACAACAGTGTTTAATTTGCTCTTAGTGGATAACATTATGGAAGGACAAGACAGTGCTCTATGTTAGTGACAGTAGTAGCAATAACTGTGTATCCACTGCACTGGATATTGATCAGGAATCTGTCCCTATGATGCCAGACAGTTCGCTTAGATGCACCTCAAAACTGCATGCATGAGTCAGTGAGTAAGACAGACAAGCACTAATGACTATTTGACAGGCAGTCAATCCATTTTATAGTGTTGTACTAACGACTAACTACTGAACGAGTGTCTAAAATAGAGTCTTGTCTGTGCTGCTGCTACTGTTTGTTCACCAAGAGAAGAATTTAATGTTGTGCAATGCATCAGTACAATTTTCGAATAGAAGACAGTTAAACTTAATTTCTTGGCTCAGAATTTTGGGTGTCCACCTGTTAGTGGATGTGACAGGAAGTATTTAAAGAAGTTATTAAACTTATGTCAGGTCAGTCACATTCACATTATACCAGAGTCAGATCAGATCCAGCTGTTAAGAAGTCAAACAGCAGGGAGAAATCAACTAAGAATGTTGTCATGTATTTGCTCTGCAGCTTTATTTATCAAACTAACGTGTCCATCTATAGTGCCACTATCAAAAATACTTTCCTACAGCGTAGTTTCTAGTGGGCACAGCTGATACACATCATAATTGCTTTATTAGGGTTTTAAAATCTCATTGCAAAAAGTCAGAAATAGTATATTTAGTGCACATCATCTGCAAGTTGTGATAGCACATTACAGGAACAGCTTGGAGTTAGAACAACACCAAAGGTTTGTCCTGATTTATTTAGGGGAATAGAGAAATGAGGACAGGTGCTCGTCAGGGGTGGTGGTAAACTGAGCCAGTGTAGAGTTCAGTTTGCGTCAGTGTTGTAACCGGGAGTTATGTTCACTCAAAAGGCTGCCATTCACATCCTCACACAAGGATTGGTAGACAGCAAACAATTAAATAAGAATGCTGAAGTGCAAGTCTGAGATAGTTAAATGCTATATTTAGACTCTTAATATTTGTTTTGAAGTAGTATCTCACTGATTTAGTGGTACAGTAACGTTGAGAGTGGTACACTAAAGTTCAAAGTGGTCCTTAGCACAGAAAAAGCTCCAAAATCCTTCATTCTGCACTTCATATAATCTGATCAGTGGGATATTTTCTGTAAACTCTCTCTGCCTGGCCGACCAGAACAAAAACCTCTACATTTACATTTACTTCCACTTTCTAATGATGTGAATATCAGGCTAGCAGACAGTGTGCTGGTCGCATGAATTGCTGCGATCTTCACCACACTTAAAATGTTTATTTACTTTCCATAATCACAAAATTTCCCTGTCCTCATTTTAGGTTCTCAGTGCATTAGTTGTAGAAAGTGAGAATTAAAACGACATTTTTGTTAGATTTTTTATTGAGGTTTATAATAATAATCCTCCCACTGTCTTTTTGAGTTTTTATTTAATATGTTTTATGTATCTTTGCCATCGTGCACCACCTAATCTACAATCGTACTGCATTTGCTACATTAAATTTCTGTCGAGTTAGGGAAAATTGCAACCCTGCGTGTTTTTTCATCTTGCAAATCATTTTTTTTGTAATATTTGAATGAAATAGTTAAAAATCGGAATGAAAACAGCTTTACTCCAATTTCTCACTCAGTTAACAGACTCTTTTCCCCCCAACTCTGCAGGTGCTGATGTGTGGCAAGGGTATGTGCTATAACAACTTCTGTGGCTTTAAAAAAAAGTATGTAAAAGATGTAAAAGAAAAAGTACAGTGGCAGGTTTCTGCATCAGAAGTTTATTGTTATTATAATTATTGTTGTTGTTATTATGATGATGATAGTATTTTGCAGACATTTTAAGATAAAGAATTAAAGCAAATTCTGCTGTTTTCTGACTGTGGTGAACATACAAACCAGATAAAACTTCAACAAAGTGCAATTTGTGTATTTACAAAACATACTTTTTCACTCCAATTAATATTTTTGCAAGTCTTTTAACACACTGACACTAAAACATACACTTTGTAGTTACTCATTGTGCACCGTGACATTAAGATTTTATTTTAAGTGCTGTCCAAAACGTGAATCTATTGTCCGGCATCAAACAGCTTCTTCCTGCCCTCCATACCAGACATGGCCTCCACATTCTTACGCCAATCAGTCACCTCCTCTTTCTGTTCACAGGAAGAAAATAATTCTTAGTGAAATGTTTCCCTAAAATAACCCTGAAATCATTTGAGCAATACTATCAACTTGTTGTAACTCAAATGTAACCATTATTTCAGATTAAACACTTTAAGCCAAGGGGTCAAGTTACCTGAAGTGATCTTAACACACTGACTGTGGCACTTACCTTCTCCTCCTCTTTCTTCACTGTCTTCAGGTTTGCCTTAAAGTCCACAGACTCTTTGACCTTGGATCCCAGCAGAGCACCCAACATGGCGTCAGCTGAGATCTTCACCCTCTTGAGAGCAGGCCGCTTCATCTTTCCTTTTAAGTCAAAGACCTTTTGAGAAAGATTTTCAATCTGCAGGAAACACATTAAAATGATAAGAATGAACTATGCTGTTGTGCAGAACCTGTTTCTAAATAATGATAACATTTGAGATATAATGACAAAAAAGGACAAGTAAAACATGTAATGTTAAGAAAGCCATTTCTGAAGGTCATAAAGAATGAAAAACCTCCTTGTTGTTTTTGGCAACTTTCACTTCAGTATCATACCGTTCTTCATCTACCACATCAATCTTTTGGTGCAGTTCTTTGCACAGAGCCTACATAAACAGAACAATATCAAATTGTTAAACAGAAGAGCATGAGCAAAAAAGATTCCTGCTCATTCCAGTGTCATAAATTACCAAAAATAAGATGGAGAAAACAGCACACATGAAAATGGTGTATATGCATCGCATCTGTACACATTAGAGAGTTACTTATGTGTGGGGCATTTCCACTGTGTTATTTCAGTGATGCTTCTGCAGTGATCTGCACATACCTGAAGGTCCTGCAGAGACAAACCAGACAGCTGAAGTGGAGGGACTCTCTCCCTCAAAGTCGTCTCTCTCTTCAGCTTCTTTTGCTCCTTTTCATCCTCCAACATCACAGTTGCTGTTTTCAGCAGCTTGGTCTAAGTTGTAGAAAATGCACGTAATGACTCAAATAACTGATAATAAATAACTAATATGGACTCCTGAATGAACAGCTTTCTAGTTTTGCTATGCATATTTCATCTGTTTTAGTAAAAACAAAGAAGAAAATACCTTAAGGGCAAGTCTGCGGGCTGCAGAAATCTTTGATTTTCTCTACAAATAAAAAGTAGACAAAAATACATTTTTTCAAATAATAATGTTAAACAAATGTTTAACTTCTTTGGAGATGTTAAGAACTTAGAAGAACTCACAGATCTGTGGTGGGTATGATGGTGTGGAAAAGGATAAGAAATAACAAGAGTTTGTTTCTACATGTTAAAAATATTTTTTAAATGCCTGTGGAAAAAAAATATCACTTACGCTTCAGCCATGGTTGACTTTTGTCTGTAAAATAATTAATACTGAAGTGAGAAAATCTACTTTTGGTAAGAGAAGCATTATTAGCAGCGTATGAATCCATGATCACAGTATTATAACGTTTTAACAAGCTTCTAGGCTATGGTTCAATTTTGTAAACTATTTTCACTAGCCTGTTTTTTATACTTCTTCGCATGCTGTCACATCTTTTTACCGAGACAAGTCAAAGTAATCCAGACCTCGGACTGCTTTTTTTTTTTTTAATATAAATGTTATGAAAGTTAAAAGTTTTAAATTGCCAACACTGCATGCTTGAGGGTCACAGATACTTTGAATGATATTCCTTTTTTAGTCCCGTTTGATAAAACCCAGATCAGAATAAAAATATAAATCTTTTAATCAGTTTAATTTAATTTTTAAAATGATAGATCTACAAAGATGGATTTTTGTAGAAAATGTATATAGCTGCTACTCAGTATTGCAAATGAATAAAAGACACATTAACATCGAAATTACTTAAATTAGTTTAAACACATTGATGTGACCCAAGATTAGATATAAATGTGGCCAGTATTCTTATAAATATTGAACTTGTGAAAATACTATATTTCTTATACATTTTTTCATGATAGCTTTGTGTGTGTCATAATCTAATAAGGCACCTGTCAGTAATAACATCATAATAGAAAAAGAAACCCTTAACCCACACTACCATCACTCATACACATATATTAAACATACCTTTTTTAATCTCTGCAGAACACCCAGTTGGTGTGATCAGTCTCTGTCTTTAAATGACTGCAAGAAAACTCAAGTCAAATTTAATGACTCCTATTGCCTTCTCTGAGTGGCCAACCCAAAATAGCCTCCTCTATCCTGACAGCCAGTATATTGCATATCACTACACTTCTATCCCCCAGCAGTAGAAATATGTCAACACTGAGCCATTATCACTGATGAATACTTGTTAATCTACACTGTGCGCTTATCTTGAGCCACCTCTCGTTTTTTTGCATTTTGCTTAAAGAAGCCTGATCTTTTTGTAATGTTTTCAAAAGTGGTCTTACGCAGTAGTTCTCTGAGCTTTCTGAAGGTCTGTTTGTCAAAGTGTTTCTTTGAATATTGGCTGCTTTTTCCCTCATTCTCAGTCGTGGCCATTTTCAGAAGAATGTTTGTTTGTTAATTTCTTTGATAATCATTAATGATTCAAGTATATACCAGGTAATTAACTCAAGGAATGAACCAACGCTGTGTCTACAGATGACAGGCTGCTTAGCAGATGATCTGCTCACATTTCTTTAGTTGAATCTACAAAACCTACAAAACATAACGCATTTCACAGGTGTTGTAGTATTTTTGCACCAGCAAAGTGATTCCCAAAAAGTATTAGCTGAAAACTTGTTAAATCCCAGCATGATGTGCAGTGTGCATTACAAATAAAAAGGAAATTGGACATGTAGAGAACAAAATAAGGAGTGGCAGTCTTAAAAACAGTAGATGAACAGTACCTGAAAGTCATGTCCTTATGAAATAGAAAACAATCCGACAAAGACCTGACACAGGACCAGAGAGATACGTCTGGCCCTTAAGTTGGTACATCAGCTGTTCACTGAGGTCTCATGAGAAAGTGCATCAGTTGAAGGGTGGCTGTCAAAAAGCAATTCTTAAGGAAGTGAAACAGAAGAAAAGGCTGAGGCCAAACTGCACCAGAACTGGATTGAAAATCAACGAAAACTCTCACGAATCCACATTTGAAATTTTTGGTTCAAATCATCATCAGTATGTACAGAGGAGGTCAGGAGAGAGGTAAACCAATAAGTGTGTACAGCCATCTGTAAAATACGATGGAGGCTCTGTCATGGTTTGGGGACGCATTTAAGGCAGTGGTGTTAGAGAGCTTTAAAAATTGATGGAGTCATGAAAACAGAAAAGTACCATCAGATTTACCTACCATGCAATACCACGTAGAAAGCATTTGAGGCAACGCTTCATTTCAGTGATCCCCAACACACTACCAATGCAGTAAAAGCATACCTGGATAGAAAAACACACAGTGGAGTCACGAGCTGGCCTCCCCAGAGCCTGGACATCAACAGTGTTGAAGTAGTCTGGGATCATCTTAACAGAGAGTGGAATGAAAGGCAGCCAACATCGAAAACAGAGATTTAAATGCCCTTTAAGAAATCTGTAAAACTATTCCTGGAGACTACTTAAAGAAATTACCAAGAGTGTTCAGGTTGTGTTTAAGATTAAAGGTCAATATTTGGTCAGTACCACATCTACTTTCAAGCCAATTAAAATTGTACAAACTGCTTTCCCTTATATGCTGTATTTCCATGTATGTTTGCACACACCTGTCAGTAATTCACTTCACCGATTTCCCATTTTCCAGGCAAAAATACAAAAAATTTAAAAATAGGAAAAAAATGAAAATCTATTTAAAAAAAAGGCAAAATCACTTATACAGGCACATTTGTTTAATTGGCATCACACATACTGCAGATATTGGAATAGCGATAAACATTTAAAAACACTTTGAAATCAAAATCCAGATAATCTGGATTTTCTTTAGTGCAGTTTTAATGTGCAAATATTAGAATTTATTACATAATTTGTAGGGGTGCAACGATACACAAAATTCACGGTTCGGTTCGATACTTTGGTGTCACCGTTCAATATTTTTTCGATACAAAAAAATGTTCCTGCTTTTTTAATTTGTCATTTATTAATATTATAAATATATATTTTAACTCAAATTTAAATTTAATGTTGCTGAAACAACAAAGGGATAAAATAATAAATCTATCTCATCGAGAAATCACTCATTTTTGGAAAAGAGAGTTTATTACAGAGAAATGGCTCTTTCTGAAATAAAAGCTATACTATACTCTTCTTCTGGGCTATATTCTCAGCAGCATATTAAAACATATCAGGTCCCCATAAGGAGAATCATGTGCTAACGGCTGTCTAAATGACTCGGGTAAAGTTTGTAGCATGCGTGCTTGTTGTTTTTGTCTGCTTCCACTTGTCTTTGCACTAGGATGATGTCAGCGTAAATATGCAGTCATATTCATTTTGTTCCCACTAGTGCTGTCAGCGTTAATCTGAAATGACGTTAACGCAACAACACGGCAAATCTCCGTCAACGAGCTACCCCTGATCGCCCTGTGCGTGGGGCTGGACGGCGTCAACACGTTAACGAGCAAACTGCGCTAATGCAGTAGTTCCCACCAATGTAATTGAGCATTGTGTGGCACATCCGACATACTGTTTTACTTTTGGCCATGACGCGCTTACCTTCAGGGTCATACTTCACATGAAAACCAAAATAATTCCAAACGCCAGATCTGAATGAGGGTGGGGGAGGTTCAATTCGCCATGTTGCAAAGAGCTTAGCTTCTGTCATGCTAGTTTGTGCTGCGCTCAGTGGATCTGCGCTCGACAGTGCAGCCTAGGCGGAGTAGTCGAACGCAGATCCACTGAGCTCTCAACACAGACAGCATCGTCAGAAGAAAAGTTGATAAAATAAATAAAAAATGTTGTATTGTTCGATGCATATGCGTACCGAACCGAAAGCACTGTATCGAACGGTTCAATATCGATACGAGTGTTGTTGCACCCCTAGTAATTTGTATTATTGCATTCAAAGCATACAGGGTTTTTTTCTACTTACAAGTGTACATTAAGTCATGTTGACAAGTTTTGATTCACTCAGATAAAAACTCACTCACTTCAGCTTATGTATTGCAAACTAAAGCTTTATTTTAGCAAGATGTGTTGCTAATATAGCTTTATTTTTAACATGAGCAAAATTTTTATTGTCCAGCATTAAACATCTTCTTTCTGCCTTCCATGCCGGACATGGCTTCCACATTCTTCCTCCAGTCCGTCACTTCTTCCCTCTGTTTAAATATTAATTATGATTATTAAAATAAAAATACACAGATTTTAAATTACTCATTAATTTAGTTTAATTTCGTTTTTTGTGTAATTTTTGTTGCCATTTTGAAGTTTTTACCTTTTCATCTTCTTTCTTTACTGTCTTGAGGTTGGCCTTGAAATCAGCCTTTGTTAGTCTGGAGGTCTCGGTGCATGCACCCAGCATATCGTCTGTTGTTTTCTTGACCCTTTTCAAATTGGGCTTCTTTATACCCTTCAGCTCAATGATCTTCTGACTGAGTGATATAATCTGTGCAGCAAACATCAAACATGTGTATAACGTTTACACTCTGACAATGAAAGTACCTGCTGTTATTAACCGCTGTAGGTTTTAACCAACCCGTTCACCACTAGGGGCAGCATTTTACCACCATTTTTTACACGCAGGACTATACAAAAAGTACTTTTACACTGTGATTCAAAATGTTTGTACCTCTTTCTCGTTTTTGCCTGCTTTGACCTCCATATCATAACGTGTTTCATCCACTACGTCAATTTTACGATGTAATTCTTTGCAAAGTTCCTGTACAGAAGAAAAAGAAAGATGTTTAAATGACATAAATTAATTAATTACCGATCATTTAAAATTTGTTTGGTCAGTACCTGGAGCTCCTGGACTGACATTCCTGACAGCTGAAGTGGAGGGTATGACTCATTCACAACTCTTTCTTTCTCCCTTTCCTTCTCTTCACCTTCTACCACCAGCATAGCAGCAGCCTTCTTCAGCAGTTTGGACTAAAATATAGTAAGGATTGAATCACTCTTTATAACATTAAAAATAATGGCTCTTTTGAATAATAATGATGATAACTATAAAAAATTAAAATGATAATAAAAAACCAAACACAACAAATGCAAAACACAAGTTCCTTTGAATCTATAAGACCTACTTTCAAAAGGAGTCGGCGTGTAACAGCAAACTTTCGCTTTCTCTTGGACTAAAACCAAAGGAGGTAAATTAGTGTAGATGATAAATATCATATGAAGTGTACAAAACTTCGAATTTGGATTAGGGATCAATTAATCGTTGTGAACATTGGCATTTTTACTCACCGGTCTTCATTATCAACATGGTGGTATGAGTACACACACACACACACACACACACACACACACACACACACACACACACAC